ATCTGTGAGCAACACCCTGTGTGTCTGCAGCCTGTTCTGCTCTCTCCCTGCTTCCCATCCAGCCACGGGGAGGCAGAGCTGCAGGAACACCCCAGCCCCACAGCAGCAGCACAGGAGCAGCACAGGAGCAGCACAGGAGCAGCACACAGCTCCCTGCACCAGGGATCTGCTGGGTCTCCTTTTCCTGGGAGCTCCCCAGGCTCCCAAGAAAACAGACCTCACAAATTCACAGCACCAGAGACATGGATTTAGATGCTGCAAGACAGGGCATCACTTTTATTTGCATCATCCTTTGGGGTCACTGTGCTGAAGGCAGGGTCCTTTGCTTCCCACGGGACACTCAGACCCTCCACCCATCCCTCACTGTGGGATATTGGGACACACAAGACAGAATATTGGACCTGGCTAGCATGGGAGATTTGGTAACAGAGATTTGGATGCCTTGGCAAGAGCAAACAGAACTTTGAGGGTTAAATCAAGATTGCAAAGAAGATTCAGTCAGATGGGTTTTCTGGAAACAGAAAATTACATCAGACTTCTGCAAGCAAGAGATGTTTAAAATGTATAAGTTTATTTATGTGATGATTAACCCAATCACTGTAGTAAAACATTACTAGTCTTCCTAGAGTAAGTACATAAGCAGTTGTACTCCACAGTAAAATTGGATTCTTTGACCACCTCAAAGTCTTCCCTGTCTCTCCTCATTGCTGATAACTCAAAGGCTGAATTACAGATCTGCTGCTTTCCCCCCAGCCTGCCCCATTCCCTGCCCAACACCTGCCTGGAATCAGGCTTTTCCATGCATCCTGCCTGTAAAGATCACCCCAAAACAAGGGCACAGCTTGCATTCCCCAAACTGCACCAGCTAAGCTAATGAATCCCCATGCATATGTGGGTTTTGGCCATGCAAAGCAGGGTTGGGGCCTGTGTGCTTCGAATTCAGCCTGAAGAGTTTCTGGGATGTGCTCCCTGCATGGCTCTGCCTTACCACCGGCTAAGGAAGCAGCTGCTCATCCTGGAGAGGCCACAGGAGGTTACCTGATTGTTTATTTTGACCAGGAGCTTTTCTTCTGAGTTGTCTCTAAGCACAACATTATCCAAAGGATTCTGCCAGGCATCCAGAGCAAAGACAGCAGTGATTCTACCTTGGAGCACTGCAGATCTCCTCAGACACCTCCACCCCTGACCCCGATGTGTGAGCACAGCGATGGAGGGCAGGGCAGCACTCTGGAAAAATGGGGTTCAGTGCCTGCCCTGGGCTGAAGTCCCTCAGACAAGAACAAGCTGGGCTGGTACATTCATTTTTCACCATGAAGTTAATCCGGCCCCAGAGCCACTGCCCCACAGGCACTTTGTGTTTTCTGTTCTCTGCCTTTGTTTACTCTTGGAAAAAAAAAAAAAAAAAAAAAAAAAAAGGAAAAAAAAAGCAGGGAAAACAGCATTTTACCCTTCCTATTCTTATTCTACTTGTGGAATTGTTTCACTGGCAAAAGGAAGCAGAGGTGGAGGTTTAGTGAGGGTCAGACCTGCCAACATTGGTGAGCATGAAGAAAGAGCCTTTCTTCACTACCCTCAGAGCAACCCAGATCGAGAGCAGCTAAACAACATCTGGCTACACAGCAGGAATGCCACATCTGCAAGGGCAGGGGAGCAGAGGGCTCATGCAGCACCTTTAGCTGTGCCCAGCACCCTGCAGACCACCCAGCCACAGCCTGCAGCTACTCAGACATTTGCCATGTTTCCCATGTCCCTTTTAATGCCCTCCACCGTGCTGGAGCTATGGGAGAATTCCCCTCTCACTGCTAACCAGAGCCAGACTGCTCCAGTGAAAGCCCCCAGGGTGATCTAAGCCATGTGAGATGGGCCTTTTGGAAAATGAAATCACAGGGAAATTGCATTATTGCTAACAAAATTACACCTAAGGAAATTAATTTGCTTTTTCTCCCCCACAGGGTATCCATCTATTGCCAGAAACATCTCTGGTGCTGGGGTTGCTGGTTCTGCACACCTACCAGGGCTTTGGCAAAGCTTCTGGGGAGAGCACTGATGGCTTGTCCCAGAAGGATAGAATGGTTTGGATTGGAAGGGACCTTAGAGATCATCTTGTTTCAGCCTCCCTGACACAGGCAGGGCCACCTTCCACTATCCCAGGCTGCTCCAAGCCCCATCCAGCCTGGCCTTGGACATTTCCAGGGATCCAGGGGCAGCCACAGCTTCTCTGGGCAATCTGTGCCAGGGCCTCCCCACCCTCACAGTCAAGAATTCTTAACCTTAAAGCCACTCACTTGCAGTTTTAAGCCATTCTCCCCCATCCTGCCACTGCATGCCCTCATCAAGTCTCTCTCCTCCTGGTGTTTGAGTCTGATGTTAAAGCAGGAACCTCTGGCATGTGGTTTTTGCAGGTTGGTGGGGTATCAGGGCACAGAAGTCTGAGAAAGAAACAGATCAAGCCCCTTGGTGCTCACCAACATCCCAGGAAGGGCAGAGGCAGTGGGGCTCTCTGCTCCTTAGTGGGATGTGGGGTCTGCAAAGCCCGAGGGCCAGAGCCTATTATCCACCCCAGCATCACAGACTTCCAAAAAACCATCACAAGGCGGGATGAAATGACAAACCAAATCACCCAGGAGCTGGGAAATGCAAAGACAGGCCCCTTCCAAGCTGGGGAAACATCCTCTTAAACCACATTGGGCTGGCAGCACCCAGCACTGCTGCCTGAGCATTCCCACTGCGTTAAAAACAGAAATATGAGGATTTGGGGCTTTTTTTTTTAAAATATTGTGTTGCTGGATAGAGCAACTGAGGGCAGCCAAAGGTGGGCACATCCCACCAGCAGGAGCAGGAAGAGCTCCAGCTCCATGTCCCTGCCACCAAGCAGAGCTGTGGGCTGCTAATTAGCGAGCCAGCCAACAATTAACAAGGCCACCCCTCTGCTTCCTGCCCCACCATGATTTATTCATCTGGCACCCCCAGAGGGCTGCAAAAGATAACGAGGCAGCAAGCACCTGCTGAGCCCATATGGCAATTTATTTCCCCTGCAAAGCTGCCTGAGTCGCCAGCCAGGAGGTTCCCCGGGCACAGGGGAATGAGCAGGGCCAGGGAGAGCCCAGCCCCAGCGATGGGCTGCTCTCCAAAAAGAGCAGGAGCAGCCCCAGACTTATCACAAGTGCTTTTGTGATGGGAACATCCCAAAGAAACCCTACCAGCTTCACACGAGCTGACCTAGATCTTGCCAAAGCAACGTGCCACATCTAATTAATTCGGGGGCTCCCGTCTCCTTTGGGTGTTTTATTAAACATTATTTCCCAAATCAGGTTCTGAGGCAGGGAACTGCTCCAGAGCAGTGATAGAGGAGTAGGATGTGCTGCAGCAGCTTATTCCAGGCAATTTTGCAGATTGCTGAGCAGGCACAGGGAGGGCAAGATTGTTATGTCAATGTGGGACTGAAGCACGTGGCTGCAGCCTTGTCATATAGTGAGAATGGGGTGAGAGAGGCTAATCCAGGACGTGGAGCTGGGCTTTTCTCACAGCACCAAGAAGAACTATGAGAATAAGTTGATTAAAGCAAAATAATAAATAAAACCAGAGCATCAAGAAAAACTATGAGAATAAGTTGATTAAAGCAAAATAATAAATAAAACCAGAGCACCAAGAAAAACTATGAGAATAAGTTGATTAAAGCAAAATAATAAATAAAACCGGTGGGTCCTAGCTCTTGTTTTCTCTAGTCTGTTAATGTCCCAGCTTGCTCTGATTCAAGAAGACTTGGGCACATTTTAGAATTAAATACAAACCATGGAATCATTTGGGTTAGAAAAAACCTCTAAGATCGAGTCCAACCGTTAGCTCAGCACTGCCAAGTCCCACAAAAAATGTCCCCAACCAGCATATCTGCAGATAATCCCCTCTCAGCTGTGTTAAGCCACAGCAAAAGCAGAAAGGCAACAGCCCCAAACATTATCTAAATACCCAGATACAGCCAAGAGAAACTGCCTTGAGGACTTCCAAAACAGAGACCTTCCAACTTTCTCCTACCACCCCCCAGTCTGGGGACACGCCGTTTGACAGAACTCAAAATGTCCCTCAGACATTTTTGGAGGTTCCAGGCCCAGGTCAGAAGCATTTGAGACCCTGGCAGGCAGCTGGAAACAGCTGTGATTTTGAGTTTGAGCCATGGAATGATTTACCAACCTTGCAGGAAGAACAAGAAGTCACAAAAGTTTAGATATTATAGTAGAAGTAGTCATAAAGTAGAGGGAACAATTTTTGAGTGCTGTACAGGGGGGTTTTGGTTTTGTACATGGGGGTCAGAGGGTTTAAGATGGAGGGATTTGGGCCTGCCCTGTCCTCCCTCTTTCTTCTTCCTTACCTTCATGTTCTTGGTGATGTTGGCACTCACAGATTGGTTTAGAGTAGAAAGGCACCATTTAATATAGGTAATGGGCATTGGGGAAAAACTGTAATATGTAACACGTAATGTACCATATAAAAGATAGAAAAGCACCATTTAATATAGGTAACAGTCATTGGGGAAAAACTGTACCCATGTAACACGTAATGTACCATATAAAAGACAGCAGCAGCCCTGGGTGGGGAGAGAAGAAGCAGTCGGAGTCAGAGAGGATGTCAGGGTGTGTGTGTGCCTCTGCCTGAGCTGTAAGCAAACCTCAGCAGCCCCAGAAGAAAATCTTTTAGATAACTTGCAATAAGCTGCCTTGAGACCGAACAACAGAGACTGCTGAGCCTTTCTTTGGAAGCACGGGTCGGAGGAGGGAGTTTTCACCACACGGAGCCACCCCCGATGTAGGGTGAGCTCTGGCAGCCGTTCCCACGGGATGTCACCCTCCAGCTCAGAGCCAGGAGATGGAGCCCTGCTGGCCCTGGCTGCCCCCCAAGGAGCCAAGAGGACACCCCCAATCCCTCCCAGCAGCCCCACACAGGACGGGGAAGGCTCCCACTCCCCCCCAGCTGCCCACCTGGGCTGGGGGCTCTCCGGTACTTACTCCCACTCCTTCCTCCGTGCCTGGGGCGTGCTCTGCATCTTGTGTGCTTCGTGTGCCTTGATGATGTCCCTCTGCTCGATGAGCCCTCCCCGGCGGCGCTTGATCAGGTCGGGGCTGACGGGCACCAGCTGGCCCAGCCCCAGCTGCAGGGCGCCGGCCTGCGCCTCGCCGTCGCGGCAGCGGCCATCGTAGAGCGCGTCGAAGGAGGCGGCGCGGGACACCAGGGCCTGGGCCAGGCTCTGGGGCTCCAGCAGGTTGCAGGAATGGGTGTTCTGCATCAGGCCCAGGCGGTGTTGGCGCCACGTCTCCTCCTCGGGCAGGGCCAGGATGCAGCGGGACGAGGCGGCGTCCAGCTCAGCCGCCCTCGCCGGGGCGCCCACGGAGCACGTCCCGAAGCCCAGCATGGCTGCTGCTGCTCTGGCTCATCACTCTGCAAGGCAAGAGGACAGAGGGAGGCTCAGGGGTTTGCTGTTCACCCCACAGTTCCCTCCATTCCTCCCACATCAAGCAAAAGTCCTGTCTCTCCTTGGTTTGTCAGGCTGGACCCCCTCACAGCAGGACACACAGCTCCCCAAGGTTAGGGCAAGGGCCAGCACCTCCTGCCTCCCTCATCCTTCCCAACTGAACCCCTTGAACTGCAGCTCCCTGACCCATTAGCCAGCCCTCCCTGGAGCAGCACAGCTTGATGAGATGGGAAAAAGAATTTGGGACACGTGGACCTACCACGCCGGGCTCCTTACATTTGGTTGGGTTCTCTCTACAGGAGCATCCAGATCCCCCTCCAGCCCCACACTCAAGGGACAGCCAGGCAACCCTCGAGCCAGGCAGCACTTGAGGGGGCTGGATGGGGAAATAACAGCGTGGCTTTGAGTTGGGAGCTGCATAAGGGAGCCAAAGGCAGGGGAGCAGTGCCAGGAACACCACCCGGAGCAGCGCTCCTCGGCCAAGCAAAGCAGGGGATGCCCTACAGACAGGAGATGCTCGTGGCCAAGACTGCCCCCAAAGCCATGGTGAAATGCTTTATTTTCGTGTTGGAAAAGCTTTGTTCAGTTTCTTATTGGTGCCCGAAAGGCTTTGATTTGGCAGTCCCAGCAATTCCCCATCCAGCATTTGCCCATGATGAAGGGGAAAAAGGGGATGAGAGAAAGCAGAAGGCAGCCAAAGCCTTCCTAACTCTATCCCTAATGCAGGAGAAAGCAACCCAGCAAGGAAAAAGAAGGATTTAAATCCCCTAGTCATGCAGCAAACTAAGCATATCACCATCTGAACCCCTTCCCAGGGCATCGTTTGGAGATACCTCCAGAACAAACAGGGAGGTGAGAAGAGAGGGTGGAATAAAAGCTGGGGAACACCACACCAGAAGCAAAAATAAATTAAATATAGGGGAAAAAATTAACAGCAACTGAAGGGACAACATGGCCACAATCCTAGTCAAAATAAGCCTGCCATTCCTCACGAGGGGAAGGGATGCAGGGCCCTGGGGAACATCCCATTTCCTTCAGGTGCTGCCCTGGAAATAGAAAGCATCCAAAGTCACCCTCAAATTTAAACCAGCCCAGCCCGAGGGGTGCTCAGCCCTTGGCAAGCTCTCCGGAGAGAAGAAGACAACTGCCAGCAAGAGCCTCAGCAAATTAATTAGCACATTGATAAGAGGAGTTTGGCTGCTCCCACTGAGAGCTATAAACGGATCCTCCACTCCACTACTTTGCTTACCCATGCGACTTTTTTTAGGAGCATTAATTACTTCTTCAAGTCAGTTCTGGACACTTTCATCGTATCGAATTTCCAGCAACTTCTGCTTTTCCTTTTCATATTGCTCTGTTCATTCTCAACCCTCCCCTCTTAAAGTTTAACTCCAGATTTCCTTGGGTTTGGGGAGCATTTTTGATTTTGGTTTTCTTTTTCCTGTGGTTGGTGAGCTTTTTGATTTGGTTTTTTGGTTTTTTTTTTTTTTTTGGTTGGTTTTGTTCAGCTTCTGTTTGTTTGGGGATTTTTATGTTTTTTTAAACAACCATTAGCCCTGTTCTTTTCCTAAACATTTCCTTGGCAAGGATGAGAGGATTTCGCACACACCAAGCATGAACACTCCAGGTTTCAAGCCATGCCTGAGGACAATTAGCCAAGAGCAAATGAGGATAAACCCCAAGGGCAGGTCCAGCATCCCCACAGACCCTGCTGATGCTCTGCTGATGCTTCCCAGGGCATCTCCCATTCCAGCTGACTCCCAGGCTTGGGGGCAATTGGAAAAGCTCAGGCAGAGCCCTCAAACAAAACACTGAGAAAGTTTGAGGAAATAAACAGAAATAATTAGCTCTGCCTCCGCCCAAGCAAACAGGGCTCACGCTGCCAGCAGAACAAGCCACGTTCCCTCTGGAGAAGTGACAAGGAGAGAAAGGAGGATGCCAGAACATTTTGTTAAGGAAAGCTGAAGAGGTTTCATGCTAATGAGGGATGCCACATGCCAGGTACAGAGCATGTGGCACCAGGGCACCTGCCCCTCTTCTGGCCTTTGGACTCCTCCTCACACACTGAAAACAAACACCTTATTTTTACCCAAAATCAGAATTAATGGGGAAAACACCACATTGGCTCACGTAATTTGGTTTCTGCTGTTTGAATGCCAGCCCTGCCCCTGTTGGTGGGAACCCAAAGCTTGGGCTGTGCTGGAAAGAGGCATGGCCAGAGCCAGGACCATGGAGCCAGCCAGCAGCCCTGCTGTGAGCCTGGATTTTCGTAATAACATAGGACTTGTGTGCGTGTGTGTGTCACAAAATGGCCTGGGTTGGGAAAAAACTTGAAATGCATCTTGTTTCAAGTTCCCTGACGTGGGCAGGGACACCTTCCACCCGACCAGGCTGTTCCAAGCCCCATCCAACCTGGCCTTGGACACTTCCAGGGCTGAGGAGGCCACAGCTGCTCTGGACAACCTGTGCCAGGGCCTCACAGGGCAGAATTTTTTCCTAATATCTCACCTAAACCTACTCTGTCAGTGCGAAGCCACTTCCCTTTGTCCTGTCACTCAGGACCTCATGAATAGTTCCTCTCCATTTTTCTTGTAGGCTCCCTTCAGGTTTCAGTGCCTCTGAGCCCTCCAGCTGCAGATCAGCCCTTTCCTGGGGATAAACCCAGGCTGCCACACAGCTCCCTGCTAACAGCCTGGCAGGAGATGACTTCACACCTCCACTAATGACAATTAGGGGTTAAAATAGCAAAGAAAAACTGCATATCCACCTGTATTGACCCCCCTGGAGTCCTACACATGGTTTCCCAGCCCCTGCCACAGGAACAGGGATGTCACTGCCCAGAAATGGGACGCTGGTCTGTATTTGATACAGGAGACCCGAGGAGCTGCTGCACTGTGACACAAAGCAGGCTTTCAATACATTAAAGTGAAGCCTCTAGAAGCTCTCACCTCCCAGTTTTCATTCTAAAAGCAATAAAAGTCAGGGAAATCACTGTTTTCTCCTGCTGCAGAGAAATCATCTGGATAAAACCATGGCTACTGAGAGCAGTCAAAATGAATTAGAGAAGGGGATATTCGGCTACAAAAACATTGGAACTTGTGTTTTCCTTTCTTCCTTCCTTCCTCTTCCTTTCCCTTCCCTTCCCACGCGGAATTTACACAGCCAAACACTGAGCAGTGTTGTACATCAGCATGGGACACAAAAGCAGCATGCCCACCCCACAAACCACTGAGAAAAGGCTTCTCAAGCACAGGAGCACAAGTGATGGAAGAAGAAGCACACACGGATCCTCTCTACAGCATCCTCAAGGGACTCAACCCTGTTATCTCCAGCCCAGCCAGTGCCACAGCCCCAGCAGGCAGGAGAGCCAGAGATCTCACACCATGCCTCATTTTTCCCCCTTCTGGCAGCTGATTAACTAAAAAAGAGCTGCAGGGAGGAGCAGGTTCCCAGCAGCAGCGCTGCCCTCCGAGGAGGAAATTCCTTTTAGGGGTTTTCTGAGCGTGTGTTTGTGTTACAATGGCAGCAATCAAGCCTTTAGCCAAGTAACGATGTATTACCATAATAACTACACTCAGCACTTAAAGCCCTGGGTGAGCTCTTTGCTTCCATTATCTGAACGACTTTTACCAAAACCCCCGGAGTTAAAGCAAAGGGTTTAAAAGCTGTGCCAGTCCACAGGGCTCAGCTTCCCAATGCTGAGCTCCAGCTGCCCCCGGAGAGCCGGGAAGCAGAGATCCCTTCCCGGGGAGGGCAGGATGGACATAGCCTGGCTGTGGTGTATTCCACAGGTAACCAAGCTGCTGGAGCCCTCCAAACGTGCCTCAGCATCCTTCCCTGGAGATTTGGAGGATGATTTCGACAGCAGCATCAGAGTGTGGAAAACACCAATCACTTGGTTTTTAAAATTTTAAAAGTTTAATAATAATAAAATTATTATAAAAATTATAATACCATTAGAATAATAAAGTTTAGAGTTAGGACAATTACAAGACAATAAAAAGCAAAGAATTACGACATCCAGATGCTCTCGGACACTAAGTCAAAGCATGTCTTGTGAACAAAGGAATCACCCTTAAAACAATACACTTGTTGCATATTCATATATCCTTCATGGTTATGCATACATTCTATTCTAAACAAGAAACTCTGTTGTATGTCAACTGTTTCCTCTAATCCTCTGGTGTCTTCGAGTCTGAGCAAGGCCTGAAGAAATTAGCTTCTTCTGATAAGAAGCCATAAATTCCTCTCCTTTGGAAGATTTAGGTGTTCCTCAAAGCGAGTATCTCATCCCTAAAAAAAAAGCTTCCCCACATACATAGTCTCTATTTTAACATTATGTTGGAACCTAAAACTACACTTAACACAATACGTAAGAGAATTAATACAGCATAACTTTCTAACATTACACATATAATATTCATTGTAATATTTGCGAAAAGCCAATCATAAAATATGCATTTTTCACAAGAGAAGAAGCTGTTAAACATCTATATGTATGAAAAAGGTGTATGATATTATCTATATATACACATAATATAAGAAAGCATCTAGGATGCTGCTCCCAAGCACCTTGGGGACGTCCCAAGTCAGGCACAAATTCTCCATTTCACCAGCCCACAGGAGATGATGTCTCCTCCCCCAGTTTGGCTGTGTCCCTGGGCACTTCCATGCTGGGATATCATGTTCCACCCTTCCCGAGGCATGGGATGCTTCTTCCCAGGTCAGGGGGCCACTTGCTTTCCAGGAGAATCAAGAGCCATACTTGATTAGCAGTCCCCGTTAATTACCAGTCCCCGCTCCAAGGGGGAAGGGGAGCTCAGGAAAAGCAGAGCAGCGAACCTCAGAAGAATTTCAGCGTGGGGCCCTTCCAAACAGAGACAGATGGGCTGTGAGAGAGGCTGATTCATCCTCGTGGCCTTTTCCTCTCCTGCCACGTGCACTTCCCCTGGCAGTGCCATGGGTG